CAGCAGCAGCAACATCAACAACAGCAGCAGCAGCAGCAGAAACAGCAGCAGCAGCAACCCAAGCAACAGCAGCAGCAGGGAAGATGCACCAATGCCGTCTGCTGCACTTTTAAACAGCAGCAGGGAGGGCCCCTCATTTGCCAAGATTTCTGCTGCTTCTCCTTCGCAGTCGCCGCGCCGCCGCTGCAGCAGACGCAGCATTAGCAGCAGCAGCAGCAACAGCAGCAGCTGCTACGAAGTGGACCAGCCTGGCAGCAACAGCAGCAACAGCAGCAACAGCAGCAGCAGCAGCAGTGGGTCTACACCGCCACGAGCCCAGCGGCGGTCCCGCGGCGCAGTCAAAGCGACAGCCACTAGCAACAGCAGCAGCAGCAGCAGCAGCAACAGCAGCAGCAGCAGCAGCAGCAGCAGAGCCAACAGACGGGTAGCTGTCTCTAAGGGGACCCAAAGCAGCACGAAGGCCCCCAAGACCTCCCGAAGTTCGGCCCGCAGTCTGCTTTCCACATGCAGCAGCAGCAGCAGCAGGAGCGGCAGCAGCAGCAGCAGCAGCAGCAAGAGCATCTTCGGGTGCGGCCTGCTGGCAACGCAAGCTGCTGCTGCTGCTGCTGGAGAAGACAAGACACCCACTCGCCTGCGGCCTGCTGCGTCTCCTCTGAATGTTGCAAAGCCCCGTGCTGCAGCAGCTGCTGCTGCTGCTGCTGATCCTAGCAGCAGCAGCAGCAGCAGCTTCTCATGGTATGAGGCAGCAGCTCCCAGGTGTACGGACACGCTGCAGAGCGTCCACCCTGCTGCGAAAGTGTCGCAGCTGATTGACTTCCTGCGGCCATACGCTACTGCTGCTGCTGCTGCAGCAGCAGCAGCAGCAGCAGCGGGGCCTTTTCAAGTGCAGCAGAAGCAGCAGAACCGCGAGAAGCGCATGAAGAATGAAGAAAATTGCCCCGCGCAGCGTGTCTTCATGGACGTCGATGGGCTTCCACCGAACAGCAGCAGCAGCAGCAGCAGCAGCAGCAGCAGCAACAATAGCAGCAGCAGCAGCAGCAGCAGGTTGCCTGCTGCATGCATCTGCGTGCTGCAGGGGCCTTCAGGGTGCGGCAAGCGGTGGCTAGTGCTGTCTGCTGCTGCGTCTCTGGGTCTGCGGGTTTTGGAGTTCGACGAAGCAGCAGCAGCAGCTGCTGCTGCTACTGCTGCAGGGAAGACAGCAGCAGCAGCAGCAGCAGCAGCAGCAGGACCCCGCTGCAGCTCAGGCGAGCCGCTGTCTCTGGGGTCAGCTCTTCTGGCGTTTATCTCGGAGGCCCAAAAACGCAAAGCTTTGCCGCTGGACCTCGGCAGCAGCAGCAGCAGCAACAGCAGCAGCAGCAGCGGCAGCAGAAGAGGGGGGGCTGGCGTGGTGCTGCTGCGCCAGCTGCCAGCAACTTTGCTGCAGCACTCGCCGAGCTTCACCCGTCAGCTGCAGCAGCTGCTGCAGCAGCGCCTGCAGCCCTACCAGCAGCAGCAGCAACAGCAGCAGCAGCAGCAGCAGCAGCAGCGCGTGGCTGCGCAGCCACTCGTACTGTGCGTAGGAGACTCCTGGGAGCAGCAGCGGCTGCTGCAGCGGCTGCTGCCGCCGCATTTGCTGTCGAGCTCGGGGGTTTGTTTTATTAAATTAAATCCGCCCACTGAGACGCAGGTGATCCAAGGGTTTAGGATTAAGGGTTTAGGGTTTAGGGTTTAGGGTTTAGATTTAAGGTTTAGGGTTTAGGGTTTAGGTTAGGGTTTAGGGTTCAGGGTTTAGAGTTTGGGAACGACCGGGCCTCGCTTAGCCTCTTTTTGCTTCTTGCCTTTCTTTTGAGGGTTTAGGGTTTAGGGTTTAGGGTTTATGTCTTCGTTTATTTGTCTCCTTTCATCTCTTTTGCTGCAGGTGCTGCGGCTGCTGCAGCGGGCGCAGCAGCAGACAGCAGCAGATCTGCAGCAGCGGGGCCTTGCTGCCGCTGCAGCACGTGTTGCTGTTGCAGACACTGCAGCAATTGCTGCTGCTAGCAAGGGAGACCTAAGGCAGGCACTTTGCAGCCTCCAGCTTGCTGCTGCTGCACCTGCTGCTGCACCTGCTGCTGCTGCTGCTGCTGCGGGGCTGCAGACGCCTCCGCGCCGCGCGGGAGGGAGACAGACAGGAGCAGCAACTGCTGCAGCAGGCGCAGCAGCAGCAGCAGCAGCAGCAGCAAAGTGGTGTAAAGACTTACAGCTAGTCTCTTTTCACGCTTTGGGAAAGTTTCTTTACGGAAAACGATTTCCCAGCTGCACCCAGGAGCAGCAGCAGCAACAGCAGCAGCAACAGCAGCAACAGCAGCAGCAACAGCAGCAACAGCAGTTGACTGAGCCTCCGCACTACCCAGAAAGCTCAATGACATCAGCAACAGTAGCAGCAACAACAGCAGCAGCAGCAGCGGGAATATGGGGAGGCATGTTTTGGCGTCCAGTTGCCTGCGAAGCTCCTGCTGCTGCTGCTGCTGCAGCTGCTGCTGCT